AAATCAAGTATCTCTTTATGCAGTGTTTTTTATACCTGTCCTCCTGACACTTACATAAGTCAACTCATATCACTGATACTTGGTGTAGTTCAAAGAGGATGTGCACATAGACACACCAGAGAATGGATTGTTCCCATGATCGGGGTGTCTAGCAGACGGTGTAGCGAGACGTGTGTGTGGGGAAGGCATTTCATCTGTGATTGCAAGTACAGTGAGTTCTGCTATAACGCGTGTTTTGATAACGCGAATTTGCTCTAACGCGATTTATGAATTCGGAACAATATTTGTATAACGCGAACGCTTGTTTGCTATAACGCGATTTTTGCTTACTATTTCTCCAATTTTGTGGTATTAACTGTGAATATGGTAAAGAAGAATATCTCCAAAAAGTGTTCTGATGATAGAATTCCCGGTGATTATCGTAAAAGAAAGGATATAACACTTGAAGAGAAGCTCGATGTTATCAACCTCAAAATCACCCTTCTCCCCCATCAAGTTACATTCATATTTTTTCAAGGTAAAGTGTTAAATTTACTGTATGATTTCATTATTAGATATGAATGTAACATTTATTTAGACTGTGCTATCCTTTGTGTTAGGCTAACTACTAAATTTTTTCGATTTCGAGTAATCTGCACCTAACCCTATTTTCTCCATAAGCCCTGTTATTTCTATTACGCGATTTTCTATAACACGATATTTTACAAGAACACAATTATCGCGTTATAGCAGAACTACCTGTACTATACATTGGTTCTCGTCATTCAGTTTAGGTCGAAATAATTATTAATGGTATTCATTGTTTTTTCCTGACATTGCTGGCAACATGGCAATCTAGGTATGAAACGCACCCTTTAAATCACAGAGCGACGCTTAAACCATGCCGTCTCATCTCCTCTTGTGTGTTTTAAAGTTCTACGTACAGGGGGTATTATAAATGAATTGTATTTTTCATTTTGCACACATAAACATTAATTCAATCAAATAGACATCAGTAAAAAACAATAATGAATCTTCTGTACATAAGAGAAATGATGCTGTTTCCATGACACTATCTTGTAAGAATTCCAGCAATGTAAATTATATTCTCCCCGGTTACTTTTGTGACATTTTATAAAAAAAATATCTAAAGGACATAAATAAACAAATAAATACTTCACTAGACCTTCGGCACAACTGTCAAACATGTCACCTCCCTCCCCATCTTCCCAGCCAGGGTTGGGTGGTTTTAGGCTTAAAGTTTTTATCTTACATAATATCACAGACTAAAGCTATGAAAACATAATTTGCATTGCTAGATTCCTTGCAAGACAGTGAAAAATTTGCATATAAATTTCATATATTTTGCACAAGAGATAAAAATTTTAGCCATTTGTTATAAGTTTCCTAATGCGACTATAGCATGTTTATTCAAATCAATCACTATCTTATAAGAATTCCAGCAATGTAAATTGTATTCTCCCCGGTCACTTTTGTGACATTTTATTAACAGAAAACAAAAACTCAATCTAAAGGACATAAATAAACAAATAAATACTTCACTAGACCTTCAGCCCCAACTGTCAAACGTGTCACTGTCACCTCCCCCCCCCATCTTCACATCAGTTGATCGCTAGTAAACAGACCATTTCACGTCCCATAATTTTAGTTGTGTTAATTTATGAGTGTTTGTTTTAACATACTACTACAAAAAACAATGTTTTGTTTATTCTAGGAGATGGGCTGAGGTGCATCTGGGTAGCCTCTCAGTCATTTTAGTATTTTGTGTTTCTCTCAAGGACCAAACTAAATTATTCCATTCAAACAACACTTCGATTTCTTGCGAATTTGGTATAAAGCAACCTCTCTTGGACTGTATCTCGTGTTATATCAACGTTCTACTGTACATATGTTGGCCTTCTGCTATCAGCCTCACTTTTCTCTTCACCAATAGTGGTTACTTCTACTGTATATACATTAAATAGCATTAATGAAAAGAATACAGCAACAATCCAGGTCTTATTTTCTTCAGTTTCAGATGGAGAAATATCATCATGGGTGTAAACACTGATAACAACAATGGCATCCCATCTCCTTTGTGTAACTACATATTAGTATTGATTTGTATTGTATAAGGTGCATTAATAACCATTATTTAAAGAATTTATTTTTTATTTTAATTAATTTTCCTTATTTGGGGAAAAGGGGGTAAAAAGCCACTCAGCATATATGAAAAGGTCACACTATGGAATGTATCTTATTATTATTATTGCTTTATTTTAATGGCAATTAATGATTCATGATACGATGATTCACTTTTTACTGCACTCCAAACTCCACTTTTTCAGACACAATACCTATGTTGTAGTAAAAATAACTTCTTAATTTTATGATGGTATGCACACACAATTAATAATTAAGAGAAATATCAATAATATTAGGTTTTTTAACACTTACATTAGTAGAAAAGATGGCTGGGCACACGGGGATGGGGGTTGGTTCCGAGGCAGAGGGCAGATTATTGGCCCTCACCTGTATCACTTGTATCAATTGTATCACTATCCACCACAGTGGCTTGCAGGGCCTCTTTGTCAAACCCCTCAAAATCCATATAAGTCCATATCCTCACTATCACTGACTTGGGCCGGCTGTGGTGGGTGGCGGGTGAAGAACTCGGTAATGTTTTGATGACTGGGCGACCTTGTGCGCACCCCGCTTGCGCCGCTTACACAACAGGGCGGGAGAGATGGCGGGAGGTTTGGATCCAAAAATGGCGCGGCTCGCCAGCCGCTCTCCACGTAAAGGGGTACACGCACCACGGAATGTGAGCATTCCGGTTTCGGCAGGGTACCGCGTAAACGTGGAAACTCGGAATGTGGGACCGCGTAAAGTGAGGGTTGACTGTAGTTTAAGTCAAATAGAAGGAGTTTGTTTTTCACTTATAATCTGTCACTGAATTGACTTGGCAGAATTTAACTTACATTGCCAGAATTCTTGTAAGATAGTGACTAAGTTAAGTACAAACTTCCCAGAGTTTGCACTAGACATAAAATGTTTAGTAATTAACTTAGTACATTTGAATACAGGTTTGCTCTTAGGACAATTATTTCTTTTACTTTTTCACTATACAGTATGTATTTGGGATGGTGTGTGCATGTAAATGAGTAAAATTACATGAAGAAAGTTAAATATATCTACCCAAAAATACTAGTTGAGAAACAACCATGACACCTCACAACTTGGCCCAGTAGCCTGGTGGTTGCAGTGACATGTTTAACCTGGCTACAATGCCATGAATAATTACGTACTATTAAACATTACTATATCAGTACAGAAAACACTAATAATAACAGTAAATCCAGTAAAATATGGCAGGAAGAGAGGGAGGCTTGTTAAGTGCAGACGATGCTCAACTAGCAGCACTCACTGACTCGCTCACTCCCATTACCCGCACCCGTTGCCAGGTGTACGATCGAAATATGTATGGGAGAAATACATATCTTGTAGTCTAATTTGGAAAAGGTGATAGGCACAGTGATAAACAAATTATATAAACAATGTATTTACCTACAATAACATAATAAAAACATTGTATCATTACTAGAATGAATGAAATTGTCCCACAAACAACATTTGACAACTGTTTATGATTCTCACCTCCTCGAGCACCTGTGTCCAGTGCAACCGACTGGTCAACCAGCGCCCATGGGCCTAAAATTTTATTTGCTCTGTTTTGGGAATGTTTCTTAGCCCAGAACCCCAAAAATTTTTGTCTGAATCTTCGGACATCTGGATTTACAGGGTCTGGATCTTCGAGGGTTCACTGTATTTTTATTCCAAGACTTTAAAACTATAAAAGCTTTTTGCTCAATGATTACTGAACAGATTTTCTGTTAGACATTATTTATATTTATCCAGGTACTTAAGAATTAAATTTAAAAATAATAGTAATAGGAATTAAAAGCTATTTTGTTGTTAGATAAGGGCTGGATTTTCTTGATAAGCTGCTGGTGTTCTTAAGATATCTATGAATAGTATGCAATCAAGTCTTTTGATTTTAACCTGGGTTTAGCCCTCAACAGTGATGACTAACCTAAGCTAGCACCCTTAAAAATGGAAATTAGAAGCAGGAGTTTTCCTGGAGAGTACAGAGAAGATAAGATTTTGAAGAATTTGGTGCTACAGGAACATATGCATGTTTGTGTAATATTGAAGAATTGTTTCTAGAACCTTAGTAGTATGGTTGCTATATAATGCTGTTTGTTCCTTGTTGACTATCATTGGAGTAAGGTATTATTTTGTCTATATTATAGTCATGAAGTGGAAGACTTTACTTAATTGGTGACTTAACTAACTGGTCATGTAGGAGGGCTTGGTCAGTGTATTCTGCTTATTTTATCCCATCAGCTGTTGCCAATGTAAGATTCATTGAAGGCATATGGTGACAATGCCAACCTTTTGCGGTTTGGTTTTAGAGACCTGTGGACTTAGGCAAATGAATTCTGTCTTCTTTACCATGGTTTTTCAGGCATTGGTATTGGCTTAGGTTGACATTCTCAGGGGTGTCAACCTACCAGTTAAAATTTTATGAGGATAAATTGATTTTCTAATTGATTTTGCCCAAATTAGGGAGTGTTTGTGATAGGGGTTTTTAGCACCCTCTGAAGTTACTTTCCTTTATCAGGCTGGAGATGCTGTCTCTTGGCTTCCCGTTTTTTATATGAAATTGTTAAGGGGATGAGTCTCAGAAGGAGTGGTTACCAATATTCCCTGGTGAGAAGCCTTTAGGATCTACTGAGAGGTTTTATGAATTCATTACTGTATATGTTTCATCTTTAGGGATAAAAATAAAAAATTTTCTTATTACCAAGTATCAGTGTTAAGTCAAGGTTGAAACTGGTAGGCTTGATGGCATACTATGCATGATTCTCCTTGTCCCAATTTAGTAATAAAAAGGATTTTCATGATCAATCCTTGAATTTTGTTCTGAGTTGTGACAATTTTTTTTTATATCATTTCAGATGTTTTAGGTACAGTAGACTTCATTGACAAGTCTGATGGAACAGTTTTCTTCCGCACATGTGAAAGGGAACGAACGAAAGTTATTTTCCAGATTGGCACGAGTGATGCTCAGAGAGCCCTCAAAGTTGGGAAGATGGTGTAAGGCTTGATTGTTTATTTGTTTAAATTGCATTATTATGTCCTTTATGTGGTATTATATATAGATTAGCTACTGGCCCAGCTCAGAATAAAATTTGTTTGCTGCTTCTTGTTGAAACTGACAACAAAATTTTATTATTTATTAGCTCCCAACACAAGCAAAAACTTAAGCAGGTTTTGATGAGGGCACAGTTTGTTAAAGAAGAGTTTTAATACAAATTTTGAAAACCACAGTACCTTCATGATCCATCTAAAGCCACAAAATGTGGTGTGAAATATTTAACTTAATTCTAGTGTTTGTTATAATTAAAAAAACATAGAAGTGCACTTGTGTCATACAGTAGTTTTATTGGATAGCTTCCCAGAAGAAAAAAAGATACAATACAGTATAATGATTTCCAAAATGTAATTGGTCATTTCTTCTCTCTGATTATATATTTTCTATCCATACATCAGGATTGAGCAACTCTTATAGCCAGTAAATCTAGGGGGTTGAAGTGGAACTATTCAGGACCTGCTTTGACATTATAGATGGCTATGTTTGTATTTTTTACATTTACATACATTTATAGCTACTGCAACAATCCTTGGTGTCAATTTCATATACAGTACAGTCGGACTTCTGTAAATCGGAAACCACCATAAGTCAGGCAAGCTCTGACTTGAGAGGGTTCATGGGGTGGCAGTTGGGAGAGGAGTCAGTTCCCACATGTTTGTTGTTGCGTCCACTGCACACTTTTTTTATTTATTTTTTTTTATTTAGTGCTTCCCTGGTGCATTATTATGTCCTCTAAATCAAGTACAGTCGGCCATTAACATATGTGGGGTTAGGTAACAGAGATACCCGTGAATGTGAATGTTAAAAATTCCGTGTACTATTGCTGCCCTCCCCCCCCCCCTAAAAAACCCCTGGCCCCCCATGTCCTTATTTACCGTATATACCTGTGTGTAGTTCGAGTTTTTAAGACCAAATTCTTTGGCAAAAAATTGGGGGTCGTCCTCTAAACGGGTAATAGTTTTGTTAGGTTGAAAAATATTTACCAGTAACTACCAGTAAACAATGGAAATGACACACCAACACACCACCAGCTGTGAGTGTCGGTACAGTTGCTAGGGCAGATCTCTTGCGTCATCATAGCAAGCCCAAAGTAGCCAAATGCATGGTATGGTATGCACAGGATGATGTAAAACATAAAGTATTCATTTTTTAAAGTTTATTTGTAGATACTGTACATAAATTTTTGTTCATTACATTTGAAACATCAATCTTTGTTAATTAAATTTGAAACAAAAGAAAACTACGATACCGTATTTCTAAATACCTGGTATTTTCATTAAAATATTACATCACAAGTATATTTTACCTTAACTGTGACTGAATGAATATATTCTCAGAAATAAATATGGAAATGTAATATTTTTGCTGAAATGACGTATGTATTACAGTGGAAAGTGGGATAAAATCATGATGAAAACAATGACTCGCTTTCTTTCGTTGCTCTAAAGATTTTACCGTAATCGCTTTTCGAATAGTTTTCAGTTAAAAAACTGTTGTATTACAATAATATTCTATTCTAATTCACTTGAATAAATACTACGATACCATATTTCTGAATATTTACATTAAAATCCATCAAAATCATTTTCCTTGTCATCGTCTTCAGCACCAAACAGCTCCTCCCAGTCTTCTCCTTGAACAGGGCTAGAGGGTACGTGTTTTTCGAATCGTTTTCAGTTAAAAAACTGTTACATCACATGTATATTTTACCTAAACTGCGCCTGAATGATTATATTCTCAGAAATAAATAGTAGTTTTGCTGAAACGTGATGGATTGTGTCTCAATGGAATCTATTTGTAAAAGGGTTAAGGGAAGGGAAAAATGAGGTGGTTTGCATGTGCCAAATGCTGACGTCAGTGAGTGTATAGAAATATGGACTAATGCAAGTGTTTTGGGAGATTCTAGTTGCATCACCCTTCCTTAATAATTTAAGAAATAACTTAATCGATTCGTATAAAATTGTAATTTCATACATTTATCAGTAACCTCTTATAGCTGCCAACTTTTTTCCAACAGTGAATCATATGTGGCGGGCTTGGATGTGAATATGGGATGCCCAAAAGAGTTTAGTATCAAAGGGGGCATGGGAGCAGCCCTCCTCAGCCAGCCAGAAAAGGTTTGTCACTTATTCATGGTTTTACTAAATAAAAAAAAAAAAGTTGATTTTTGTGTGTGAAGAAATTATACTTTATTACAAAAATTAGTCTGGCATGAGATGGATATTGTGGGTCTGTCAGGAACATCAAATCTTGAAATCTTAAAAGGTTCTTTATTTTAAATTCATCTTTAGTAAAACATGTTACGGGAATTCTTCTGGGTAATTTTTCATTTGAGATTGGATTTGAGCAGCCAGTGATCTTGTACAGGTATCCTTCACTACAAGGTACAAGTGTTTGAGATAAGAAAATTTGTTTTACAAATTTCCTAAATACCACCTCTTTATCATGTTATGAATGTTCCCCTCCACTTATACTAATTTGGGTCCTGGCAAAATTCAAATTGCATACCCCCTGGAGTCAGGTGGGATGGCCACAATCCCCTAGCCTTCTCCTTATCAGGCTGAGGTGTGAGTTATGTTATGGCTATTTTTCAGCTCATCATTTCAGGTAGATAAACATAACTTTCTTTTTTTTTCAGTTGCATGCACTCACAATCCTACATACAGAATGTGCAAATAAAAATTATCGTAATGTCAAAAACAAAGGGAATAAACATCTCTTTGCATGTCAGCGAGGGTTAGCAGGATGAGCTGGGAGAGTTATGTTATTGTTATTTTTCAACCTTAATTTGGGGTAGATAAAGTCAACCTTCATTTTTTTATTCCGTTACAAGCACACACAATCCTTCATTTTTAATGTTAAAAAAAGTAAAAGAAATATATATCATAAATGTCAAAAACATAAAGGGACTACCGGTAAACATTTCTTTGTGTGTGAGTGGGAGGGGGAGCATTACTGAGGATCAGCAGAGGAAGCGTCCCCAGCTGGACTGGGTTGCTATGTCAAGGCTTGAGGCCACGCTGGCTGTGTCTATGCAAATGGTGGTTGTGTTAAGCATTCATTGAGGTGCATATTTTCATCTACCCTAGATAGTATTCTATTCATGTTTTTAATGTGAACTATTTATCATTAGTTAGGTAGGCTTTTTTGTTGCTCATGAGCCAATTTCATGTTTTGGGGTTTTCTTGACATTGGGGAACCGAACCTTATTTTTCCCTTGTCTTTGTATTTGCTATACGAAAATTCACTTAACAAATGGGTATTTAGGAATCTAACCTATTCATACAGAGAGGAATACATGTACAGTATTACCCTAAACAGGGGTCTTCATTATACATCGGGGATGTGTTCCTGAGGAATGCGACATAATGTGAAGTGTTTTATAATTAGGAATTTTTCCACATAAAAATTAATGTAAAAGAGTACTACACTGTATATGCACTCCAGTGTATACACTAATGCCCCTTGAAAGCTCAGGATGTGATCCTCGAAAGAGGGCTTTCAGCAAATCAGCTTTCATTGGTGTCATTTCAACAGTACTGTGCTATACAGTATTCCCTTAAAGCTCACTTGGCTTATGTAAAATGTACCCCGTGAGAAAGCAAAATCCACGAGTTTTTCATGCCAGTCCCAGGACTGTGCAAAATATATATATAAATAGCTAAATGCACATGTATAACAACATTGTGTATGCATAAGACAATATAATTAATCTGAAATAACATAAATAAATAAACATAAAAATGGAAAAACACTGTACTGTATAGACATGCGGTCCACACAGTGATAGTTAGTTGTGGTCGTGACAATGCAAAGACAATACAGTACCTCTGAAATGTCAGCTGGTCTGGTGCATAAGATGTAAACAATCCCTGTACTGGACAGTTTCTAGTGAATGTGCCCAGTACCGATAAGCATTTGTAATGTGTAATGCGTATTATTACCGATATTTCCTTTTTTATTAAATTAGGGAAATTTTATAAATAATACCAACAAAGTTTGATAATAGGTCCATAAAGTGATAGTGAGCTGTGGTAGTGAGAAACATAATACCATTACAGTAGGATATTAAATCTGCAAAAATTATTTTTCCAAAATATACTGTGAGAGGTTTGAATGATAGACCAGGTTCTTTGCAGACTTTACTATAGCAGTGTCAGATGGTGACTGGCAACCGGGCGCTGCCACAAACTCCCACCTTCACACATGGGAAAACATATCATACGATGGTACTCCATCTCTCAATCTCACATCTCCCCCCAAGTTAAAAGGAAATGACAATGCACATTTGAACTAACGAAAGGAAAACAATGTACAGTTGTACCCCGCTTAACGCGGTTTCACTTAACGCGATTTCTCATATACGCGGTGCCTCGCCAGAACCGGACTTTCACTTAACATGGTTTATGTACTCATATACGCGGTGAAGTATAATTTATATATTTTTTTTTATTTAGCTCATAAAATTCATACAAATTACCCGGCCAGAATATAATTTACATTGCTGGAATTCTTACAATATGATGATCATTTTGAATACAGGTTGTACCTCTCTAGTCCGGCAACCTCGGGACCTGACCGGTGCCGGACCATGGAAATTGCCGGACCATGGAAATTCACCCTTTTCCTGGATAGATAGTGACTTGTGGTTATGCCTGGAAGCACTAGCACCACTTTCTCTGCATCATGGTCTCTTTGAAGACTTATTGAAGGGTTAAATGTCGTATAGTAGCTTCTGAAATTTCGCGAGTTTTTAATTCTTAACGTATTTTATTGGAACAAAAAAATAAATAAATAAAAATTTTGACGGCGGAAACTTGAATTTCGACGGGTTTGAACAGCCCGCCAACATGCAGACGACGTGCATAATTGTGTAAACAGCGTCATTTCTCTTATGTACAAAAGATTCATTATTGTTTATTACTGAATGTCTTTTTCATTGAATTAATGTTTGTGTGCAAAATGAGCAATACAATTCATTAATAATACGTAGAATATTAAAACACACGAGGAAATGACACAGCATTGTATTCGTTGATTACAAAACCAGTGACTGACTGGTTCTACATATAAAACTGAAGAAAATAAGACCTTGGTTGTAGCTGTAGTAAAATTAATATGGTTGTTTTAAGTAATGTTATTTAATGTTAATAAATGGAACAATAGAAGTAGCTAACGATAATGGTAAAGAAAAAGAGAGATCGCATATGTAAGTGCGCATGCGCACACGTGAAAACATATCATCATTACTTTACATAAGAATATGAAAGCAACACTTATTTACTGTTCATATATATTTTAATTAATGTTTCTGAATTTGTTTTTATTGAATTAATGTACGTGTGTGCAAAATTAACAATACAATTTATTAATAATACGTGGAATATTAGAGGAGACGAGACGGCTGCCGGCATTGTTTATGTTAAAGCTTACGAAACCAGTGACTGATTGGTTCTACATATAAAACTGAAGAAAATAAGACCCTGAGTTTAGCTGTAGTAAAATTAATGTAAAAAAATGAATATGGTTGCTTGAAGTACCTGTAATGTTATTTAATGTTAATAAATGGAACAATATAAGTAGCTAACCATTAATGGTAAAAAAAAAAGTGAGACTGCTCGTATGTAAGTGCGCACATGTGAAAATATATCGTCATTACTCTACATAAGAATATGAAAGCAACACTTATTTACTGCTCATATATATTGAAGGGTTAAATGTTGTACTCTGTATAGACAAGCAGAGAGAGAGAGAGAGAGCAGCCGAACTGCCGGATGTAAACAAACCTTAATTTCCCGCGGCTTTTTTTTTTTAAGGGGATTAGCCCACCCGGGAATAGGTCACTGACCCACATTAGGGCCTGAGGGGCAAAAATTTAATACTCCTGTAATAATAATAATAATAATTCAGATAAGTAAAAAAAAAAAAAATAAGCTGCCTATCTACCTATTGGACAAACTAAAATCGTTCTGGACCACGGGAGTTTCCGGACCACAGAATTCTGGACTAGAGAGGTACAACCTGTATAAACATCATAGATTTTGCATTAGACATACAAATTTTAGATATAATGTTTACTCTGAGTAAATATGTTATCTTTTGTGCAAAATATATGACATTTATATTCAAAATATTCCTGGTCTTACAAGGAATCCAGCATTGTCAATTATATTATCCTAACTTTAGTTTGAGGTATTATTTATTACTAAAAAGGTAAATATTCTGGTTTTCCCACACATCTGGTAGGGAGGGTTGGTGGGGGGTGGGGGGGAGGAAGGGACCGACCGACCATCTGGCACGGTGTGAAGAATATTTTTTTTTTTTTTTATTAACTGAAGATATTTGTTTTAGCTCATAAAATTCATACAAATTACCCGGCCAGAATATAATTTACATTGCTGGAATTCTTACAATTTGATGATCATTTTGAATATAAACATCATAGATTTTGCATAAGACAAACAAATTTTAGATATAATGTTTACTCTGAGTAAATATGTTATCTTTTGTGCAAAATATATGACATTTATATTCAAAATATTCCTGGTCTTACAAGGAATCCAGCAATGTCAATTATATTATCCTAACTTTAATCTGAGTTATTATTTATTACTAAAAATGTAAATTACTATTTTCTCCCAAAGCTTCTCTGGTAGGGAGGGTTGGTGGGGGGCGGGGAGGATGGTTGGGACGGACCGACCATCTGGCGCGGTTGGAAGAGGGGGGGAGGCAAGGTGGGGTACTTTGATTGACAGATAGTGTCGTGAAGAATTTATTTTTTTTTATTAACTGAAGATATTTGTTTTAGCTCATAAAATTCATACAAATTACCCGGCCAGAATATAATTTACATTGCTGGAATTCTTACAATTTGATGATCATTTTGAATATAAACATCATAGATTTTGCATTAGACATACAAATTTTAGATATAATGTTTACTCTGAGTAAATATGTTATCTTTTGTGCAAAATATATGACATTTATATTCAAAATATTCCTGGTCTTACAAGGAATCCAGCAATGTCAAATATATTATCCTAACTTTAGTTTGAGGTATTATTTATTAAAATCTAGTGGTTTTCCCCAAAAAATTTCTCAGAGAGGGAAGAGCCAG